ACTTTATGTTACAGCCAAGGAAGGAAGGTTAAGAGCAAAAGGTGCAATTACAAGTATGACTAAGCAGGCAGATTTATGCTGAAGACAGACCTCAGGAAGAAGCAAGGGGGGTAGGGGAGTGGGCCTGGAGGGATGTTAGAAAGAATTAAGGAACAGCTGAGTGCTCCAAAAATACTGTATTAACAATCTCTAGCAGCAGTAGCAGCATTCATGTGCCAGAAACTCAGCTTCCTGTTATAGGACCAGGTTGCTATAGAAACTTACTACTGGGAGCTAAATAAAGTAATTTCTATGCTAGTGTTGGTGTCTGTAACTTCAGCACCTGATGCTAACCAAATTGTGCTCAATAAACAAATTTAAACTCTAAAAGCCTGCAATGAGTTTACAATGGTTTCTATACAACTGATTAATCTCAATTGATCTTGGCTTAGAACACAAGAGCATGAGAAATCATAGAAACAGAGAAAAGACTGCTCAAGACCCTGCTCAAGATGCCTGATGCTTTTTTTCTTACCTGATTTCCTTCTTTGTCTGTGCACCTCTTTATTCTGTCTTAACTTTTTTATTTCAAAACTATCTTTTTCACTCCTGACCTCATAGTTGAGCCTGACATCTGTGATTCCCTTTATACAAATTAATTCTGAATTAACCTGCAGTTGCTCTTGCATCCCTTTCATATATCATTAAGCATTTACTTCAAGTTAAAACTGTGAGAAGCAATGTTAACAGCCGAGGGGCAAATCCTTCCTAGCTGCAGTGCAGGCTCTTGGAATTGAGAGGCGAGGGACAAGTTTGCAGATGTCTGCGCAGGCAGTGCATACCTTGGGAACTGGGAGAAGTGCTTGTCTCCCTGTGGACATCATAGGCTTACTGTGGAGTGGGACACGGGAAGGTCCAGTGAACCTGGATGCCAGGGCAGCTCAGGCTAGAAATGTCTCTGCTTTGGAAAGGAGTAATCATTTCTGTTATTACCGTAGTGCTTTCCTGTACTGACTAGGTAACAAGAGATCACCCCGAGTGTTTGAAAATGCAGGCTGTTTCCTCTTGACATTACCTAGAAGTCCAGCCAGAATAAATAATGCTAGTGCCATAAGCAGTCATGTAGGATAGATTTAAAACTCTTTAATACTGCTTTGTCTCTGTTTCAGAAGATGTGCGGACCTCTCTGCAGCATCTGAGCATATATGACAAGAGCTGAAACTATGAAGGGTGCCACAGAGTGGCAGCTGTGACAGCCCTCACTTTGGCAGCTTAGTTGAAATCTCTCCCTTCATCACTGAAGTACCCAAAGCAGCCCTTAAATAATGCATGTGGAGGTACGGGTTAAATGCCTGGGGTAGATGGCACTTCTGGGGGAAGACAGCAGGAGAACCCAGCAGGGGTGGGAGCAGGAGGTTTCCTCGTTCCCAGCAAAGCTGAGCATCAGCCAACATTGTTTTAACCCTGGCGGAGGAGCTGAGGAGCACATCGGGGGGAAGTGGTGTACAGATACCAGAGGATCGTTTCACTCTTACCCACCTTGTGCGGGAGGGAGAGGAGAGCAGGAATGGCAAGGCAGCCACTGCAGGAGGCTGGCGGGCTGTCTGGGCAGCTGAGCTGCTGGGAAGAGGCCAGAGCTATTTTACCACAGTGCCCAGCAGCGCTCTGTGAGGAGATCAGCCATGGCTGCTGGTGCAGGTGGCCCAGGGGCCTCGGGGATGGCCTGAAGCAAGAGCAGGGCCTGGGCCAGCTTTGGCAGAGGAGGTCCTGGGGAGCCAGCTCTCCCCATACCAGCCTGAGGCATGGAGAGTTGCCAGGCATGGGTGAAGGGTGGCACGGGGCGTCCTGCGGCAGGTGGTCGGTGACACAGGGAGCCCTTCTGGCTTTGGCAGGTGGCACAGGCAGCTGGCAGGCACGAGCTGAGGGAAGAGGACCCCTGTCCATAATGAGTCTAGGTGGTGGAGCTACCAGAAGGACAGCATCAAGTCCTTGCTCAAGCAGATCTGCTAGGAAAAGTAGAGGCAGTGTGTGTTTTATCAGTGTTTATTGAAACACACGCATTCTGGGCGTGAGGCGAAAGTCTCTGGCACAAGCCTGGTGAATGCAGCTAGACTTTGAAATCCTTTTGTTCAGTGGTCTTTTGTTCACCCAGTCTGGTGATACCATCATCTAAAGTTACCTGGGCCTCCAGAAGAAGAGTATCACAGCCTGTGTCTTGTCAGAAGCAATGTCTGTGGGATGTATGTGCATATGCATCCCAAATATTTAGATCTCTCTGTGTATATATATATATATATATATGATTGTATGCAATTCCCTGTTCAGCATAACAGGGCAGTGGCTGCTCAGAGCCCTGCTCTTCACTCCAAGGCCAGGGGTCATATCCTGCTGAAACTAATGCAGTCTAGCCAGGCTCTTGGCACTCGCTAACAAAAAAGGTGTGTTTGCAACCCATTGACCTGGGGAGAATTTAGCTACCAGCTGAAGCTTCCACATAAGCTTAAAAGCTGTGTTGAATGAGCTGAAATTCACCCATTAATTTAAGAATGTTTGAATGCTGGCTCATTTAAGAGATGCTGTCCAAGGATGTCATAAGAAAAGGATTGAGAGGTATTATTAACTATTTTCCGTATGAGAGGTCTTAAATTGGAGAAATCAAGACATGAGGGTCAGGACCTTAAGGTGGAGAGACCAGACGTCCTAGACACTTGGTGTTTTTAATGATCAGATGTAAGCTTCTCTAGGGAGAGGTTCATAGCAGGATAGTCACTGGAAGGGTATCTGCAACACCACTATCACTGGCGGCAGGGGGAGTGCAGGTATTTAGGCACATAACTTGGACAGGCAAAGATAGAAATCCACTGTTTTCTTGCTGAAACAGAGGCAGTTTTCACTTCCTCTAAAGTGTAAGTAAGCTGAAAATGGAGAAGACTTGTATATTCTCTCCTAGTTAGACCATAAGGAAGGCATACTTGAGTCCTCAAGGAGGTTTTGAGAGTCTTGCTTTTAATGAACACTAATTTGTAAAATTCTTTTCATTTCAAGAATTGGCACTCGATTCTGATATCTGTTAGTCTTTATAATGTCTAGTCTGTTTGCACAAGTTTATGAAAGTCTTGAGTGGACACTTAAGCACAGTGATATTGTTGCAAAGCTAAGCGCAACTGCTCATACAAGTGGTACATTTTGCCTTGCTGTTTCAAGAACAAGTCCTTGTATAATCTGTGTACATAGTAAGTCACACCTGAACTTCCATACTCTTTTTCATCTTTTCTATACGCTCTGCAAATACAAATGTAAAAGCTAAAAGGGCCACACTTCGATGCTCAGCAAAACTAGAAAGCAAAGCTTGTAACCCACTTTCATTGCTTCTCTTCCCATCCTTTTTGTCCTTCACATCATCTCATTCTGTCCACTCACCTCAATGTCCCCAAGTGAGTGGGAAACAATATGGCTTATTTCTTCTTTCCCCAAATTTCTGAGAAGTTGTGTTTGTTCATCTGTTTTCTTTGTTGTTTATTTATTTTTGACAATGCTATTTCATATTACCTAAGAGCGGTTGTAGAGAACATGTATTTTAATTTGCATTCCTGACACATTAGTTCTGCCACTTAAAATGTTTGTGCTACAGAGCATTGTATACTTCCCTGTGATGGTTCTCCCTTCTGGCAGGGTCTGAGCTCCCAAGTGCTCACAAAACCAGAGAGCTGCAATCTGGTCTCTTCCCTGTCATCTATCTCAGGATCTATGCCAAGCCTTCAGGACTTTGCTCCAAACCTGAAGCCTTTTTCTGGTGAAGTTACAAGGCAAGGCAGAAGTGTTTCACTTCCAAAGGTCCTGCTCAGGCTATAATTCACACAAGTGAATCCCTATATTCACAGAGACTGACTGAGTCTGGTGAGCTCCAGCTGAAGCACAGAGAGATTTTGTGTGGGCATCCCTTCCGATGGCCACAGCCACTTCTTTGTGCATTGTTTTAATCATGATGATCATTTTTTTAGAAGCAGGCAATTTTAAGAATTAGTATTTGTCCATGCATCATAAAAAGTGGCAGGTGAAAACTAATGATTCCCATTAGTTGTTCTTGTCTCTGATTTCTCTAAGTTTTGCAAAGGCCTTGTTCTTGGTTCCTGTTTTGCAAAGGCCTACTGTTCTTGGTTCCTTATATAAATAAAGTGAATAAAGAAGAAATTGTGCAATAAAACAAACTATGGCCTACAACTTGCTAGGACATACACACCTACTTAATTTTATATGCACCAAGGGTCATTGCAATGATTACTTACAGCACATTAACTTTAGCATGTGCATAATTATTTCCAGGATCAGTGCATAACAGGTCATCTTTTAATATACAGGAAACTTAATGAGGGATCAAAATTTAAAACCCTAGATCTGAGTTACTCTGAAATGTGGAACTCCAAAATGTAAACCTAAGGGTCTGTAAGTTGCCAATAACATTTGCTCTGTAAACTTCCACAGAAAAGTCTTGTGAAGCATTTTAACGTGATGGTTTTCTCAATGTTGCTTTTCATAGTAATCTGTTATACCTAAGCACATTTTACTTTAGAGAAGCTATTGATTTTTATAAGGAGGAAATGGTATTTTGGAGACATAAATCTTGTTTATAAAACATATTCAGATTTTTAGTGGGGAGATGGTAGGAAGTTGTTAGCTCCTTGTGAGAAGAGTTTCTCTGCTTATTATGTTACATCATTTTTTGCTATTGTTGTTTCTCGGTCCTGCTTTAAAAAAAAAAAAAAAAAAGAAAGGCAAATAAGTATAGGAACAGTAAAAACTTCCTGTATGTTCATGAAAGAAATATGTCCTTTGTTTAGTTCTTTTGCACATTTGACCAAGTATGATTTTTCCTCTTTTTTAATCTTAAGCATCATTTAATTTGGAAGAAACTTTTAACATTTTCTGAAATATAATTGCAAGAAAACTATTTCTTGCTGGAAACTTTATAAACCCTTTATTTCTCTAAGGAGAAAACTGGGTTGATATTTTCCATCCCTCACATGCCTGTGATGAGATAACTGACAGCAGCTGTTGGAGTGGGACAGGTACTAGAGGCAGCTTCCATCAGCCCAGCTGGGCTGGGGCTGCTGCTGGAGCTCTGGGTATTCAGAGTGGGCTGGCAGCTGGCTGGGTCAGGAGCTGTGCTAGTGCATGCAGGTAAGCCTGCTTGGGTTTGTTTTCTTGAATTATGTTATTAATAATTTTTTTTTCTCTCTTCTGGTGATGATCTGTGCAGAGGGGCAACTGTAATGTATAACTTTGGCTTTTAAAGATGTTCATCAATACATTCCCTATGGAAAATAAATCCTTTTTTGTTGTTAAATTAGTCAGAAGGCTTTTTTTTTTTTCTTTCTTCTTCTGGAAGGGTAACTTACCTGCTCAACTATTGCCTTCTTGGCTTCTGTTTTGTCAGACTTGTAAATCTCTACCCACACATGCATTCTCTTTTTATCCTGCATTTTGATGGCATGTGGGGCTTTGGGATTTGGGGGAAAAAAAGGAACAGGTGAGAGAGATCACCTTTGCTGTGGAAATACTCTAATTCTAGAAAGTGATAGCTTATGCCTTAAAAAAATCTAATTCTTCCAGTATAAAAATGTAATAACTGTCTTACAAAGGAAAAAGTATGATTATTTTTTCAAGGTTTTAGGGAGAGAGCCATTGGAACCTGAATTTGAGTTCATAAGCACTGAGCCAGAAGCTCTACCTAGTTCTAAAAATAAGGCTTACCGTGCTGAAAGTCAGTATTCCTTTCCTCCGTTGACACAAGTTATAGTATTGCAATGTTTTAATGCAACTAAGTACAACTGTAAGAAATACATAACTCCATGAAACCTGGTCAAAGCCTCTCTGCTTATATTTTGATGCAGATCCTTAGTGTCCTTGGTATGGACGTTTGAGTCTGCTTTTTGAAAAGCAAGTGTCCAGGGTTTAAATAAATGTGTATTTAAATATTTTCTTAAGTAAATGAAATAATAATAAAATGTACCTTATAAAAGGGCTTTACGTAAAGCTAGTCTGGAGGCTTTTGCAAAACAAATAAAAAATCAAGATGTAAAAATGATGGCAAAGGTGGGGGAGAATCCTAATTTAGAAGAAAGTATGAGGGCAGACAGATCTTTGAGGGAATCATCTTGTAGGAATAAACTTCATAAAGGAACCTCACCTGAAGCAGGTGATGGGGCAGCTGGCAGAGAGGAGGTAATTGTCCTCATGTTTGACTATAAGGTCAGATACACCTGAGGGAAGGAGGGGAAGGGTTGCTTAGAGGGTTTAGCAGGCAACTGTCTGCAAGACTGCCCAGGAGGCAAAGACTTCCTTGAGATAACAAGGGTACAGCTGGAGATAATCTGTGATAGTATGTGACGCTAATTATCATATAGAGAATATTTTCATCTGATTCATTCAGTGAGCTAAGAAGCATGGGGTAGAGTAACTTAAATTTAGCTTTATTTGTATGGAAGGCTGATAGAGGAAGACGTGAAGTAAAGAACAAAAAAATAAAATAAGGATTTAAGTGACAATCTGACTAGTACTCATTCAATTGCCAAATCTCATCGAAGAACTGTTGGGGAAACTCATGTTTCTAGAAGGACCTAGATCAACCAAGAATGACAATATGTGAGAGAACTGAAATGGTAAAGACAAGGATTCAGTTAAATAGATGTCTGATGAGGGGTACCATACTTGTCTCATTAGTATGAATGAACCAATACTAAACATACGTGATTATCAAAGTGTTTGAATGCTCAGAGTTCTCAGTAAGCATGTGGATGTGTCACAGGCCTATGAAGCATAACAATTATTTAGGATACCTCTTAATACAGTGAGTAAAACAGGCAGAAGGGGGAATTATGACAGCAACATTTAAATCCATATCCTAAAATCTCCATGTAAAATTGGGCATGAAAACCAGGTTTAAACACTCTGAAAGTGAAGAGCTATGTTAACAGTCAGGTACAACAGTTTTCCTGAAGCCCTGAGTCATACATGAAGTTCTGCATTTTACACAGCATGGTAGCTCTTGCCTACGACTATCGTTGGCTTCCATTCATAGGAAAAGGAGATAACTGTTATTGAAAAGCAAAAATCCCATAGACAGCCCAGCTGAGATGTTGATTTTTCCTTCCGAGAGCCCTAGGCTTGTCATTGACATTAGGGGAGTGCTGGACTGCAACAGCAAACTTTCAGGCAGGTTGCTGAAATGATCAGCTTTGTGAACCAAAATACAAAGAGACATAACTATTTTTATGCTACCACTACTCATATGGGTTATTACAAAGCAACAACAAAAAAGTGACAATAGAATGCATGCTGTTGCTTAAAAAAAATAAAAATAAAATGTATGAAATAAATGTGCTTAAGGAATACGGAACCAGCTGTTGTGTTGGAGCTCTTCTAGCTGAGACCTTGAAGAGAAAAAACAGGAATATGAAGCACGTTAAATGCACTCAAATACACCAAGTGAGGTCTTCCAGTTCCAATGCATTGCAGGTGTTGACAGACAGCAAAGGATATCAAAGCTCATGCTCAAGAAGTGGCTTTCTCCTTGATGGATATTACTTGATTTTTGACAGAGCTGGGAATGTTCTGCCTTTTCTTACACACTTATAAGCCCTGTATGCCTTGTCAAGCCAATAAAGCCTCATTGAACTGAAACTGCTTTCTAATTATGGTGTGTGGCAATACCTGTGGAAACTCATTGCCTTCAGCAGAATTGCAGAGGTGGAACTGATTGGGAGTTAGTGAGGGACCTGGTAAACAATGCTCAAGGAGGGATAGGATTCAGCACCCTCACTCCCTGTTCAGTCATTTGCACAGAGCTAATAAGAACAAAAATCCAGTAAAGCGCTCTGTGTGATATGAATGGCTATGCAATCCTGCTGAATGTAAAGATGCTCTTGCGCAAAGACAGCTTTCAGCATAGAAGCACATACTTGTACTGTCAAGGTAACCTCAGCACTTCTAAGTATGGTAGTGGTCCTCCCCCCTTTAAAAAAAAAAAAAAAAAACTCATATAGGGGATAATTCTGTCATGACACTGCTCTGATAGCATGGCAAGTGAGGTTTCAATCCATGCAAGTTTGGATTCGTTGCATCTTCCCTCTCTTGCATATTTGACTTCTTTATTCCTTGTTTCTTTTCATTTAACATGATTATATTGCTAGTCCCTGATGAATGCATTACCTTTTTCTACTAAAGGTGCAGCATGTTTGACGGCAGGTTTTGTGTAAAGAAGAACATGTTGGGGTATCTTAGAGTGATAGATAACAGCATATCAGCAGATTTATCAAGTTTATCTGAATGCATATTTAAAAATGCCAAATGTGCTTTCAACTTGGTTTTGGCGAGTCTTTTGAATCTCATTAAAATGCAACCTTGAGGGAGTTTAGAGATCTGAAACAGACGTAATTAGCTATTTCTTTAAAGGAAATTTGCCCTTGCTGACAAAATATGAGCCAAGATCATTATTATTCTTACAGTAGTTAGTGTACAGAAACTCTTAGCACTGTTAAGATATTTTTTTACCTTCCTGCAGGTACACTTGAAAACAATCCAAGAAAATGATGAGGGTTTGCTTCTGATGTAATGACGTATCCCCCTGACATCACAGTGAAGAATGAATGTTTCTCCCTACAAAAATCACAGGTATGTGGACTCTGGAATTTCTATCCCAATGAATTGTTTGTCCCACACATGATTAAAATCACAGTACAGGAGGTGGAAATAGCAGGTGTCAGTGCATATGTGGCACAGGGATGGGAAATGATAGTGTTTGCAGTCTTTTCCCTTACTAGTGTTTTGCTGGTGCAAAATTAATATAAGCAGTTCTTGCTACTTGATATTCACATCAAGTTTGCATACTCATCAGGGGGAGCTGGATTTTGCCTTCAGCTATAGACAGCAAACTCCCTTTTTCTTGAGATTCACCTCTAAATAGATTCTGAACTGGGACTGGGGAGTAGTGCAAGACATTCTGGGTACTTGACTCTAAACAGTTATTGCTGAGCTGAAATATGCCAGCTGCACGAAGCTGCTTCCAGGACTTTGTGGACCTCCCCCAGCCTGCCATTTCTGATAGCTCAGGCTGCAGCTTCCCGCAGAAGCTGCAAATTCTCAGCCCAGCAGGAGTAAATAGGGTGTCACACAATAGGTGTCAACTGAAGTGTGCTGGATCCATGCTGTTGTAACAGAGGAATCATGTTTGGCACAGTCTGATCAGTTTGTACATCTAATGTTTTCCTTGCATCTGTTAAAGGAAATAAAATCTGGAAGGCTTCTGGGGGGGGTGGCTTTTTCTAGTGCTTAAGCATTCTTATGCATTTTTTCCTTCATTTGCTTCAGTGGATGCATCGTTGATGTTTCACTCCTTAAAAACTGATGTTTGATCTAACTTCTTTGTTATTTTGATTTTTTTTGAAACCTTTTTGAAGTAAGGCAGTGTACATGTGTGCATGCTACTTCAAATGTTTCATGTTGACCAAAATTACATAAAGCAGCTTCTGATTAAGTGACAAAATGAAGTCAGTTTTAGACCAACTAAAAATAAGCGTGCATCGATTTTTTGCCATGCCAGATTTCAAGTGGTGCAACTAGTGTTTGCTCTTCTGTTCTTATGGCTCAGTTGGCTGTCCAGTGTTTCCATAATGTGTGTTGTGTGCCTCTGTGGACAAGGTGAAGCTGCATTATCAGTATGTAAATAATATTACTCCTCTCATTTTGACCAATGGCTAGTATAACCTTTAGCCGATAGCAAAAGGTTGCAAGTTTGCCACTGGATTTTGAAAAATATCCTGCTAAAATAAAGCAAGTGTTTATTTTAGCTACGCCTTCACTAAAATGTTAAACTTAAAACAATACTGAACAAGTGCAGTAGTAATGTGTTTTGAATGTACACTGGGGAGAGGGGGGAACACTTTTCTGCAGTTCTCATCTTAAACATATCTATCTTGTCATTTTTCTCTCATGACACTGACTATTTGTACATCCCCAGAGTTGGAGAAATGGGTAAAATGATGCTAGGTGTGACTGGTAAGAGTGGTTGGTTCAAGCAGATTTTGCAAGTGTAAGAGGTTATCCTCCACTAGAAATACCTCCACAAACCTTTTAAAAGTATTAGCATTAGAAGAGTCTTATTCATTTTGGTTGGACTTCATGTTTCTCCCACTTCCTCTGCTCTGTCTGCAGTTATCGCCTGAGGAATGTTATTTTACTGAAAGCCTTGCTCTGAGTGGTGTTACCATAAAAGCCTTTTATCTTCCATTGTTGTTGGTTTTGTAACTTCACAGATCTAGGATGACTGTGGTCTTCACTGGGGCTGTCTGTCTCTCTATGAATCCCTACTCTCTGGTTAGAGGAATGCTGATATTGACATAGTTAACACTACTTAATTCAAAGGAATTTGAGTCACCTGCCTGTCACAATTTTTTTTCCTGTCAATCATTTCCTAAAACAACAGTGCCTTTCATAATATTTTCATTTATGCTAGGTATATATCATGCAGTCTGATATTTTGCTTTGATTGATTCATCCTTAAATATCAAAAGGTAACACCTTGAAAAAAATCACATTTTCCAAAGAGGTTCATAGTGCTTTTCTTCAGTGCGTACTAGAGACCTGCAAAAGAAGCCTTGGGCTAGTTGTAAGGGTTTGGTGCATGCGTATACATGCCTGTGCCTTTACATGCACATACCTGCACAGTCAGTGCACAGCTTTGTGTGGCAATACCTGCTTGAGTCCAGGAGGTACGGTAACTGCGTTAGCATGGCATTGCATCTAACCCCATAAGCTCTACCTCTGCACAGGGCTTCCTGATTCCAGACCCACAAGTGTCTCAGCCCCGGGCAGTTTCAGCATCACGCTGTGCTGCACAGATACTCAAACTGTCTGTGTGCTACGGCACGGCCATTCCTGGGGTTCTGAGGATCCCGTGTCCAAACCAACAGGCTGCTGCTGGACATGCGCTGTGCTGGAAGTCATGATCCTGAGGGGATGCAGGCGGCTGCTGTGTCAGTAGCCAAAGAAACCTAGGACAGAAAATGCTGGAGTGTGTAATCTCACTGCAGGCAAACAGAATAACAGTATAAGCAAAATGCAAGGGTTTTTTTAAGGCTGTATTAACAGGGAGGAAAACAGTGTGACCTGCTATTCTAAGCCTGTTTGTCTCCAAATTGTAATCATTCCTGCACAAAGTCATGAGGACAAGTTGCATTAATAGAAATAAAAGCAATCAGAAAACTTGCTTGAGTTTACAGAAGTTGAAGACATACAGTAATCATCCCCTCTTGGTATGCAGAAGCCCTCTGCTTGAATGCAAAGCCCTTTGAAGTCATTGCTGTCCATCTCATTAAAATGTGCTGTTTCCATCACTTTTTCTATTGGAAACTCTCAGGATTTAAGTAATTTGAAGACATGTTAGAAAAAAATGACTATAAAAATGATGCAACAAGTATTTCTTCATGTATTTTGAGTTTGGGGAGGTAAATTGGGAAACTCATAAAAACATTCTCAAAGGTAAGCTTAGTATTTAAACTAGGAGTGGATGCAAATGTAGCTAGTTTATTTCAGCTGTGTTATAAAAGAAGGGAGGAGGACTGATGCTCTGTCTCCTTTGTGGTGTTAGTCAAGGCATGAATGGGCGATGCATAGAGTAATTTAGACTGGAAGGACCTTTGGATGTTATCTGGACCAATCCCACAGCCAAAGTAGAACTGGCCTAGATGATTGACCATGACTTTATATGTCCACTATAAATGCTCAAATTTGACTTAATCTTTGGGAGGCTGGAGCAGTACTCAAGATGAACTTACCTGGTTGCAATTTGCAGATCTTTGATTGCACTTCAGTAAATGGTGGCCTGGGGATTGTGTGCTCCGTATTGGTTTGTCTGATGGGGATGTTCCCTATTGGACATGCTGCAGTCTTGATAGTTACCTGTCAGAAAAGGGGACAGGGAACAAAAATATTGAGATGATGACTATGCTGCTGAATAATATTGTCTGTGTGCTGATGCAAAGCAGCAGAGATGGCAGGATTATCCTTAGGGACCTATATTTTTTTTTAACCTTCCTTAAATTAATTGTAAGGAACTCTAATCTGGCATTCCTCCCTGCTTCCATCTATGCACGCTGACTACAGAGGTGTAACACTGGCACCCACCTTCTCATTTCCTGAAATGGGAGAAGTGCTCTTCTGTGGCAGATAACACCCCTTTCTTTCTGATAGCCACCGGCCATGTCGTGGCTATGCCATCACCAAGCTGTAACATTACGACCACGTGTTTGATAGGGATGATGTGGTGATTAGTAGCACTGTTAAAGTCCTCTCAAACCTTGACCCATAGTGAAGCTTTTAAACATGTCTCATTCTTTACACACACACATACTCCATCTCCCCCCCGTTCTCATATCTGCAATGTGGCATTGTGAGAATTGGATGTTAATTTGTGATATTAGTATGGAATATCTGAAATACAGAAGCATTAGTTGCACAAAACCTGACTTGCTCTGACTTCTTACTCTCTATTAAGTCTCAGTTCTGTAGCGTAGTGTGAGGTTCAATTTACTGAATCAACCCTTTAAACCATCTAATGGTGTTGTACATTTAACTTGATATGCTATTTGTCTTGTTCTTAATGAATCTTTGATCAGTTTATGCCTAGTTTGCAATTTTGTCTGTGCTTTACTGTCAATGGGGGGAAAAAAAGTAAGGTCTCAATTTAAAAAGGTCAAAATAGTAAACAAATTTAAAAGGGTCAATGTACTTCAGAGTGCAAAACAATGTCAGATTGCGGAAGGATTGCTTTGATCCTAATTCTCTGCATCGCATAAAGGTGTCGGTCCTTCTTAGATTTCCCTGATGCTAACAAAGCCAGACAAGAGCTGACTTGTGAAACCAGGCTTTGCTGTTACAGACTCCTTCCTCTTCCAGCAGAGTATTTCAATGTGTCGCAGTATATAAATAGCCCTTAGAGAGTGGTAACACGCAGTTGCACTACTTGCTATATGCACAGCAGAGCCAATTAGAAGTGATGAGTCTATTTGGTGGACTTGATTTGCCAAGGTGTGTTTTTTTTTTCCTACTCCACCTGCATCCTGCAGTACACAAGTACTCTCCACATGAATGGCATATCTTCTAATATCAGAAAACTATTGGGTGTACTATGCAGTAAAATATTTGCTATTAGATGCAGTTTTGGGGTCCAGTTGAACAGGTTCATTGAAGGCAATGGCCAACTAAGTTTTTTTGTTTGTTTTAAAGAATTTGGACTTTGAAGGCAGGAGTGTGTAGTTTTGTTGTTGTTGATGGTTGATTTTGTGTTTTCTTCTCTCCAAGAAAACTGTACAGAATTGGGAACTCTTTTAAAATTAAAAACAGTTAGCTAGCTCTGTAATCACAAGCATTGTTGAAATGTTTTTGGCCAACAAACAAATCCCATGCTGATTTCAAGTCAGGGTCAATTAAAACAAGTAAATGTTTTTTTCTTTCTAGGGAAGCATTTGCATCAGAAATGAAACAAATTATTTTCTGCTCCAAAACATAAACACAGGCTACTGACAATTTTCATTTGGGAGCAAATAACTTATGGAATAACACAGAAATGCATGGTTTATATGTAATTCTTATACTACTACTACTCTACAACTAGT